AAAATATGTTCTGTTTACAATCTTTTATTATTTTCAAATTTCAATTTTGTCTTCGGTTGAACACGAAATAATTTGTCACCTCTGGCGAGCAGTGTATCCTCTCATGTTTATAAACATTACTTACAATTATGAAAATTTATATTATTTATATAAAAGCATTCCGTTCGAGACAATTCGATGGCCTGTATTGAGAGTATTTGGGACACACTAATATATTGCATTAGTATAAAAACCATTGCTTATTTATGAAAATTAGTTGAATGATTCACTTTCATTGTAAGTTGATATTTTTAAATAACACCTTCTAATCTATTTTCAATTCGAAATACCATAACGTCTAGATACCTCAAGACAATTGCTTTACTAATTCAAATGTGCTTGAACCAATGGCTCACTCCACACACGCCGCCGACAGCAGTGTGGTTACCTCACTGAATGCTCACCAAGGCAGGCAATCACGAACCTCCACGCCGGGTCGCAGCCAATTAGGATCTCCTTACCGGCAAGTGCTAGACGCGGCGTTGCCACATATGCCACAGACAGGCTCTCAACGTCCGCACTTCTTATTCGCTGAATGATGCGACTTGCGCTTCATAACTAGACGGTATGAGCGTATCCTCCACTCGGGTTATTTGTCTCTGATGAAATGCATGTGCTCTACTAATGACTTCTCAGAGTGCTACGAATCCTTCATGGCAGGTTCAGAGAAATATATTGTGTGATCTACATATGCTGTTTAGTACGTCTTAATGTGATGTAAAGATTACAAAGAAAAAACACATGTAAGACAAATTATAATATATAAATATATATAATATATATATATATATATATATATATATATATATATATATATATATATTAAGCAGCATATGTAGATCTGTAGATTGTACTTGATGTGTAGGCTCTAGATTGTACAGCCGTAGTTCTCCGACTTTGAAACAAAAGTAAAATTTATCGCAGTTCTAATATAAAATTTATAAAATTTCAGCAGTATTGAATAAATAAAATTAATATAAAGTAGGTTTATTAATATTATGTTAACACAAAAGATAATTGTAAATATAAATATTTATAGTTGGCAGATTTTTTTTTCATTATTCCAAACCCATAATTAATTGCTTCCCGAAATTATTGATAATGTATGAGATCTGCGTGGGGGTTTTGTATCATGGAACTTTACTTGATTGTAACTAAGAACTAAGATGGATTGGATTAAGAACGAAATCCTAGGTGGATCTTGTTTTTCCCACCATCATAAATTACTTTGAACTTCGTGGGTTAAGAAAGTCAAGAAAGGATTTAAGATCTACCATTCTCCGCTGAGAAAAGACAATGAAACGCGTGCACTCGACTGCGCGTATTCTTCGCTTGTGTATTTCATGAATTTTCTCTCACACACTTCATGTCTACTACATATTATGCAGGACACAGTTGAGGGAGATCGGTCGAGATTGTTCAACCTCCTCCTCAGCTATGTTTGGAGTCGATTTCGCGTTTACAAACATTCTATGTTGAATGCATAGCATAACGGATGGTCTACAAAAGAATATAGATTTACGTCCTGAAACTGCACATACGAACGGTGGATCAAATTTAAGATGTCCTAACACATATTTCACAGAAAACCTTTTCAATCTAACCTATCAATCTAAAAAAATCAATTTAATAAATTTAATCCCAACGAAAAATATAATGTTAAAATATAATAGCATACTGAGAAAGGAAACTTGAGCCACGAATCAATCTCATTGTGTAGTTCAGCTATACCAAATCATACACGTCGTTTAGTACGGTCAAGGCTTCGTCTATCATTTCTCAAAAAGTACATACATGACGTAATATTTCTGGGAAATATATCATCCTTTCTACGAATTTTACCTTCATAGAGACGGACGTACAGAAAGATGGATAACGCTGTGAAGAAAGACGCGTCAGGTGCTGACGAACATAGAAAAATGTATATCTGAATCCAGACACCGATGTTTTTTTTCTTTTGAGACACTTAAACGATGACGTAGCTGCCTATTGTCGTATTAGTCGTATTTCTGGTGACAAATTACATTGAAAGCAAAAAATCGCGGGAAATTATTTTAACTGATTTTACGGATATTTGTGTTGATGATTTTAAAACTGAATGATCAAAACTGCGATTTGATCTGCCTGGTTTAGTTTTTGAAATTATGTGAAAATTGTGGTAATATATAAATTACGTTTTAAACATTTATGTATAGTTAACAAACATTGCTATATAATTTTGCTAATTTTATGACTATATTTACATTTACATGATCATTAAAATGCCCCAAGAATATTCACAACTATCACATCGCAGAGAATCAGAAACAGGATTCAGCGATGCGTCATGGACAATACTTTAATTTGTCTTTTCCTTTCTGCACGGAATCAATAATGAATAAATAATAGTTAGAAACGATATATTTAAGAAACTCATATTCACAAACACAGAGTTTAACAATGGAAATATTTTCACAATGAAAAAGGAATATATTGAGAAGCATATGTGATGGGCAAAAGATGATACCCTTTTCAGGATTTTGATCGAAAAATGACTTCAAATTGATTGTTATCTTAAACACCAAAATATTTACTTCTGTGTAATTTTTTAATAAATATCATTAAAGTGTAAAACTGTTCACGTATTATATGGTTCGCATTTTACCTTCCTTTCAATATGTTCCCACCCAAATACGCGAGAATGTGCATAATGCAACAGAAAAAGCGAGAAGCCAGATATTGATTTCGTTTCACTTCCGATTTTCTCGATATGAATCCGTCAGTTGGCAAAACGGGTCTTAACACACCTTTTCACGTAAGCTACGGGAGCGATATTTCCCCGGCCCCACCCCACCTCCAAGCGTCTACATGTTCTCTTCGCTTCGGCAGCGGCCGTTAACCCAGTTTCCTCTTTAATAGGCCGCGATTTGATCGGAAACGTCAGCGATACGACTCTGCCGCATACTTTCCGAGAGACTCTAAAACTGCCAGCGATCACGGTACCTTTTATGAGTTCGACATCCTCTACCGCCCACGCGAATTTAAATACTTTGCATAAACATATGTGATATAGTTTCACGCGCTATGATGCATAGAAAAGAGCTTAGGTTCTTATAAAAAATGTGTTCGTAGTCAACTTTTCATATATAATTAATATAATTCAGATTCATAAATATCATTAATTTTCTAGTGGTCATTATTTTGGAACCAGTGATAAAATGCTGGAATTTCTTCTGGCCAGAATTTGGTTTACTGTTACGATCAACATTATACAGAAAGAACTGCAAGACGTTTAAATTTCACTCTAGATTTAAAAAATGCACGCATCACCATGCCCCTTTGTTGTTGTCATCCAAGTATCATGTAGAATGTTACGAAGGGGACCAATATAATCTATTCAGTATATTGATTTTCTTGGTAGCTTAATGGTACGAGCTGGCAGGACGTAAAACAGGAAACAGAGATCCGATTTGCTTTGGGATAAGGAATTGAACGATTTACTCATAATAGAACATTAGTTCTTTTGCAGGTGCTCTATTGCGCCTTAGCGGCACGTCGGGAAACACTGAAGTCATAAAAGAGGCCCCGAAGCAAACGATATCAGGTAGTATTTGAAACCACAAAACATTCGTTATTGTCACATAGAGATCTTTAGAGAGAGATCAGGAAAATGGTCGCTTTATCACTTTAACGGAAGCAACAGAATGCGCAGTAACGGCAGCAATCACGCGGGTATGAGAATTAGTGGAATGTCACTCCAGAAATAACTCCAGCACTATCTCGGAGGAAACGTGGAGCCCTGTTGGCCTAATTTTCCCGTCACACACACACTGCCACACATGTGCGGTGTCACAAGACCTCTTCCAGTGCAGGCGGTCACAAGATGCCTGTCGCCTTTCCACCATCTACGCATGCCTGGAATGGACTGAGTCATACACGCATCACAAGTCTGGTCATTGCGTAAGACATAAGGAATTCAGCAATGTGCAACCTAATAAAAGCAAGTAATTTCACTGCACTATATTGCAGGAGGATTGAATGCAGGATAGACAGATTTTGCGCTGACTATGATGAGTCATTACCGTAAAGAAAACTTCATTGATGACATAATTTTATCTATTCGGGGAAAATGTTATCCTTAAGAAATATAACAACCTACTTTTCTTGCGATGTAAATTTTTGACTAATGTTTATTCCGTCAGTCATAACTTTTTTAGCTCCTTTAAACAACGTGACTATCGGCATGATTATCAGTGGATTTGCTTTAAAGTTGAAGTTATTTTACGAGAATGATTGCATAAATTGTTTTTAAATACCTCAAAAAACAACCACTGTAAATCCATAAAATATGAGTGACTAATTTTGTTATGACTCAATCAAAATATAAAGCTGACAAGTAACTGGATATCCGAATATCAGGTTCCAATGAGGTTAAATTTCCAGGACCTGATTCAGATTCAGAACATTGGAAATCTTGACGGATGACAGTCTATATTCGTGGGAAAATATTGGCAATCGAGGTTGAAGGTCGCAGGACAGTCTCCTTCGATTACATGTGCGGCGTCTACCGACATTCTCAGCAAAGTGACCATGGATATAGTTCAAGCACTAAAAATGTGAAAGTACGATTGCATAAGGGCAAGTCAAGGAAAAAATAATAAACACAACGTTCATCGATCATATGTGCGTGATGCGATAGCATTGTGTACGTTCTGATAACGCACCTTTGAGGAGAACAAGCACGTTTTACACGGACTGATACATGCAATACACTTCCGTTATCACACGATTATTGTCTTAATCATACTAACCTACGCAATGCAGGATATTTACACATTAGCTAATCATACATCCTGTATATATCCGTGTAAGAGATCTGTTGACAAGAAATTAACTTTAACGTATTGTTTTAAGAGTGATAAATGACAGGAACTCCTTAATCAAACTTAAAATAGTAACTAATTTTATTAACAAGCTTTACTACAAATATTTCTGCTTATGAATAGGTTTACAATTTCCAAGAACAGTTGTTTGGTTATAGTTACAAACTTACCACTAAACGATGACAATCAAGGAACTACTACAAAGTGCGTCTACCAGAAACAGCTACTGACCTGTAAAGAGAAAAGAAAATAATGTAATAAAATCTTAGAAATAATCTATTTTATTTATTAAATTCAAAATATTTTTGCAATGATATTAAACAGTTGCGTTAGGGCATTTAAGACATTTTAAAATGTTATTGGTGCATTAATATGATAATGATTTTTTTAATGTCCGAAAATTACTGATGTTATTTGTTAAGTATGTGATTTGAAAAACATTGAGACACCTGACTTTGTTTTATAACAAACAAATAACGTGCCACAGTATGAATATTATTAAGTTTCAATAGTTAACAGCTTTAGGGCAGTGTTTGGTATAAGAATACCAAAAGTCAAAATGTTTCTGCTAGATCAAATACATTACTGAACATTTTTAACACATTTGCATGCAACAAAATATCTTACCGTCAGTAAATTTCAGTTCACATTCCACCAATTGCAAATACTATTTTTCAATTACGCTACATTTTAATAAAAGTACGATAAAAATAACAAATACACATATCTTAAATATTATGTATTAGATTTATTAATGTGTTTCAAACTGATGGCCGCACACACGAAATTGCTTTCTAAATGGCATGCAGACAAAGCCATGGAATTCTAAATAATCTACACGATTCCTTATAACATACCGCCGTTGTTCAGTATTACCATAACGTCCTAATCCATTTTCACGGCTCATACAAAATAGATTGACTGCTGCTCACTAGGAAGTAAGGATAAGATAACTGAAGAATGAATTCTGCTTAATATACAATTTTGTAATCACTATATTTTTTCCTCGGTTTATTTTAATATGTCCTTAAAACATAGTAACGGGTTAGCATTTTAAACTTCGTGGGTCGGAAGGTCTAAGTTCGACACCTGGGTCTGGATGAGAATTCTAGAGGTCAACAGCTATTTAGACGTTTTCATGGTTTCCTCAGGTCTATTCCAGGTAGCACTGGCATCGGTCTGGAAACACATGCCTTACACAAAGCGCTATTGACCGCTACTGACCGCTACCGTAAAGAAAGAGGGGAAGGCGTAGGTGAAGGAGGAGGATGAAAAGGGAGAAAGAGGCAAAAGCGTATAGCCTTGGTGAAGTTGGAGAAGAAACTGTAGAGATGGAGGAGGAAGAACAAGGAAGAGGAAGAGAAAGAACAGGGAAGAGGGGAAAGAGGAGAGGGAGGAGAAGAAAGAGGAGAGGGAGAAGAAGAAAGAGAAGAGGGAGGAGGAGAGGGAAGAGAAGAAAGAGGAGAGGGAGGAGAAAAAGAGAAGAGGGAGGAGAAAAAGAGAAGAGGGAGGAGAAAAAGAGAAGAGGGAGGAGAAGAGGGAGGAGAAGAGGGAGGAGAAGAGGGAGGTGGAGAGTGAAGAGAAAAGGGAGGAGGAGAAAGAGGAGAGGGAGGAGGAGAGAAAAGAGGAGGAGGTGAAGAAAGGGGAGAAGGAGGAGAAGAAAGAGGAAGTGAATAAGGAGAAAGAGGGAGAGGTGGAGAAGCAGAACGAAACCGCGAGGCTCTCCAGCGACAATGGATCGGAGGAACACCACAGTACCAACCGCCTCCCCCGTGCGTCCGGCGGCGTTGCTCCGGCGCGGCGACAGAGCGCGCTCCGGGCGCCTCGTCGCGTGGAGCCGCAGTCGCGTGCCCCGAAGCGCCGCGCGGCCTTGCCAATGTGTGCCAGCGCGCGGTCGCCACTCCGCACAATGGCCCACCACGGGCACACACTGGCGACGTACTGCTATTTACTACCTGTTTGCATTGGTGAAACAGAGGCCACAAAGAGCAAACCGGCCGCTAAGAATTATCTTTCAGAAAGAGGTTAAACCGGACTCAGCTACGTAGCTGGGAAAGAATATGCGCCAATGTCGGAAGTCGATATCTAGTATCTTGCAGAAAGCGATTCGACGCCTGCAACAGTATAACGGCCTCAAAGCCACCACTGGCGGTGCAGGGGTTTGTAGCAAATTCCAGGCACGGATGCCGGTTCTACCATCGTCTGCCATATTTTTCCTGGGAAGACAAGGACAAATAAATGCTCTGTCTAGAAAGGGGAATGACAGGGTCTTGTCTAAGATTATGGACCTTCGAAATCATCGTTATCAATATCGTATTTTTTATTATTATTATTATTATTATTATTATTATTATTATTATTATTATTATTATTATTATTATTATTACTGTAATAATTGTACAACTACTGCCATAAAGTCCCGAGGAAAAGTAAAGAGCCAAAACTTTTCCAATTTATGGCCCATGTGAAAAACGGTTCACGTTTACGAAAAAATCTAATAAATAGTCATCTGTATCAGGTCAAGACGCAGATGAGTGTTATTGATTTTTGCCCGCTCCTCGTCCATGCTGAACCACTGTGCCGTGGCGCCATCGCCTCTGGCACCTGAGGCACGCCATTGGCGCCCGGCGCGGCTCAGGCACGTTGCGCAAAGTGCAGCCCTCCCCNNCTCCCCTCCCTTCCCTTCCCCCTCCATCAGCCGCGATCTGGCCGGGTTACTGCCCGCGCCAGCTGTTCGCCGGGCGGCGGCAAAGAGAGGGGAGATTTTCGGCCGAACAAGTAAAGACGTCCCGCGGCAGGTTTTAAATCGCCATCGGGTTTGTACAAGGGGGGCTTGCGTGACCCATGCGTTCCTTTTTAAACATGGTTCGTCCCATTTTGCAGGTATCACAGCTGACTCGGTAAGACTATTTTTCTTTCAGGTTAATATTGAAAGCCTTGAACTTTGAAAAAAAAAATTCTACATTTTTAATTCTGAATGAAATTAATAAACTGCAGTAACCTGGACTACAACATAATGTCGAGAGTCACTACTTTTGGCTTTCCTCTTCATCAACATAAGAGTAACTATAAAATTAATATAATTTTCACCCGTCGTAATCCACCTTCTTTCCAACAAGTAGTGACTGTTTTTGTCTCAAAATATTTTGTATTTGGTGACTCATTGCTGGTTCTTCGCATAACGAAAAGATGATGTTTCTAGTACCGCTTTCTGTTATGTTTACCCTCAGATGAGTCCCATCCATGGAGGTACTCATGGAACTTTTATTCTGAACACAGTAGTTGAACATAGTTCAAATTTTTAAAATGCGGTAAGTTTTAAATCCCTCCAAGAACAAACATTTACGGAATTTAACATTAATTTACAGACAGGTACACACTCTTGTTCCAGGCAATATGGAACGAAAAAGTACTCAGATCTCGTCAAGTGAGAAATATTCGTGTTTTCCTCATTGATTTCGTGACTGGTTGCAAGATGTTTGTTGTAAGCATATTCAGATAGCCTTATAGGGACCAAAATCTTACAGAGTCGATGTTTGGAAGTTCTTGTTCCAGCAACTGTGACTGATCACATTATGTCTAGTCTCGAAGGTAAACGCCCATGTATGCTGTGTTATGATGAAATACTTTCTTGTGAAATTTTGCTCTTGTTATCTCACTACAAACATGACACCTCAGGGGATTTACTGCAAGTACGGAAGATCGAAAAAAATGCTCCCACTGTGTCAAAAACTACCACACGTTGCAACAGGAAGTTCATTATCAACACTCTTTACGATCGCACACAAAATTATTACGTGTGCCGTATTAATTGAGTGAAACAATAGATGCCTCCATTCACTGAAATGTCTGGAGAATTATCGTACCTCTGAGAAATCGCCACGAAGCAAAACGAGTACCAGAGACGTTAGACGAGTACCAGGATCGGCTCCTCAGCTCCGGGGCCCCAAAAGACTAAATAATTCCATTTATGATTCGTTCACTGGGCAAAGTCTTTATTACCAAGTACAGTTTTGTAACGATTTGAGTAAGACAGTAACAATGTATTATTTCTTTTTAAATGTAGAAGGTAAAGTTATAGTTAAAATAATGTACACTTAGCAATATTTGTCAGGGGCACCGAAATTGAGCCTTGCACGAGTCTCCATAATTCCCAATGTTGCCTTTGCCCAAAACGCCATCAAAGACATAAGTGTTTTTCAAAAGCAACCAGTGATTATGTTTTAAAACTCTTAGTTTTAGCTAATGTAAATAGACAATCCACATAATATGACATAATCTACATTGAGAAATACCCATTTGCGCAAAAATTGAAAGTCAACTATTCATGCACCGGCCATATACGATGTACCCTTATCTATGGCTCCGCTAGGTACTCAACAACTCAGAAAAAATCCAAAACCAATGAATCAGTGTGGATTTTGACTCAAAATGCAAATATTTGATTGTTATTTCGCTTCTTCTCCTACTGCCCGCTCCGAGTAAATACTCATAGATAATGCGTAATTGCTTAGGACACAACAATCGTCATGCGACAGTAAGGCTCTATGGCAGAGGCCGTTCGCTAATAAATATTAGCTAGTTACTTGTTGCCTTATGAGACGGCATTTTTTTAAAAATATTTTAGGCAAGTAACTTTTGGTCTGTGTATCCGTATATACTGAAGTATCAAAATATTTAATTCATGGCACTGTTATGTGAAAGCATTTTATTTGCTATTCTTGAGCAGTGTACGCGATTCTCTTTGGAAAACCATTTTGTGGGATTTTCTTCAGTAGGATTTTTGCTGCTGCAGGCCACTAGTACATGGTAGAGAGTAGAGTACATGATAGAGATAGCGCACAACATGAATCAATGTACTATTTAAAAAAAAGCAACAAAAAAAACACTCTTCGCTTTCCTCACACACAAACACGGCAGAAAACGACAGGAACGGGTACCAAAAAAAGAGAAAATCGATTTAAAAAAAAGAGTCAAATGTTTACGTTTCCGCATAATTTTGTGTGGTTCTTCCCACCGCGTGGACGAACCACACGGGCGGTCGCTTTCGCCCCGCGTTCGCTTTGCGCAACGCACAACCGCCCTTCCGCCTCCAGTTTCTCCACCCCCCTCCCGACGAGTGCAACCACGCGTCTGAACCACCGCGGAAACGCATTCCCGGCGGGGCGATGTCATCGAATCTCTCCTGGGAAACTCCTTCGTTAGCTTCGTTAGCCGCTAACGCGCAGGAT